ACTTTGGTATGTTTCAGTAATGGGGCGGCTGGACGAAAAAAAGGATATCTCACTGTATACTGAATGTTGCATCTGTATTGGAGAGAAGATCACTGAGGTACACCCTTCTATGCTTTCTCTCCATGCTTCTGCTGCCGTGTCGATTGATAATGATGTGTGATTTATTAGGTTGGCTCGCTGGCTCGTTTTCTGCCTTCAATGAATGAGTTGGATTTGGAACAGCTCTTCGCGTTGGCTTCAAAATGTCCGGGTGAAAGCATAGTTCTGTGGAATGCGGCCATAAGTCATCTCAAGACTCCCATATATTCCTCAGCTGCTGGATACATCATTGCACAGGTTGCATCTCAGTTAGTCACTGCTTGAATTCCGCCTGCTGGACGAAATGACAGAGTCCTCTCCGCTGCTGTTCGTCCACGGCGAAAATATCGCTCCAGAGCCATCGTCAGACAGTTGCATTTTCGTTTGTCGCATAACAACTTCAGTACCTGTAACTGTTTATTATAGCTGGTGAAACGTGCCGAACTGAATGCTGCTTTGGCCTATCAGAATATGCGATGTGTGGTGCAAAATTTGTTGGCCGAGAATTACCAGCCAAAGATTTCTTCATATTTCTTGAAGGAATATTTGCGAAGACAGAACTCATACTCGTTTGAACTGATTGTTCCGTTATGGCTGGCTGCGGTCCTTGAAGAACCCGAAACAAATGAGGGTCTGCTTTCAGTACTATTAAACACCCCTCGATACGAGGGATGGTTTTTCATATCAATTTCATTCATATAATTTCGGGAATTTAATTCTGTAGCCGAGGTTTCAGAATTAACAAGCATGTCGGTGGAGCTGTGTGAGACTGTTGTCACGTCGCTCAGAAAAAAGGGCATAAACGTGAACTCGTTTCTGGGTGATAAGCTGTCGACAGCTTCCATGATACGATGGCTTTTCGAGGTTACATTTCATGTCATCTTTCTTTCAGTAATTACTAAAATTTGCGCTCTTCTCTTCTTATAGCGCTAGTTGCATGGATTTTCTGCCTCTTAGGTATTTAGCATAACCATGAGTCAAGCTTAGGAAACGTTAAGCGTCTGCTTGTACTTACCTTCCCAGCTTCCTCTCTCTTTTTATCCTTAGAACATCTTTCATATAAAGAGGGCAAGGGAGGTGGACCATAGTGAACTAAGTTTGCTCGGGAGGGTCGGCTGTACCTCGGCAGATTTGTTTTACATCAGCCGTTTTTAATAAGATTTTTCTTCCAGAACCAACGATACCAGCCCAGTCCTAGCTAATCCAGTACGGCTTTAATTTACTGTTGGAGCAGTTTCCACATCTGACATCTTTGCAGAACTAAAATTCCCACTTCCAGGGGACTACTAAAACTGTGCTGTGCTGATGTCTTTGCAACTGCCATAGTTCGCGAAATCATGTCTTTTAAGTACTCTTCAAGTTTACTGATAAGTGTGAAATCTAGCTTTGAGGGTAAGTAATATGGATTTGCGAAATTCGGGACAGCAGGTTATAAAATCCTATACGGACTTC